ACGTGTGCCCCAAGGCCCAATTCAACCTGCCTTTGAACACTTCCAGGGAGGGGGCATCCACAGCTTCTGGGCAACCTGTTCCAGTGCCTCACCAACCTCACAAGAAACAATTTTTTCCTTAAACCTAATCTGAATCTACCTTCAGTTTAAAGCCATTACCCCTTGTTCTACCACTCCATGCCCTTGTAAACAGGCCCTCTCCATCTTTCCTGTAGGCCCCCTTTGGGTACTAGAAGGCCACAGTTAGACCTCCCCAGAGCCTTCTTTTCTTCAGGCTCAACAATCCCAACTCAGCCTGTCTTCACAGAGGTGCTGCAGCCCTCTGATCATCTTCGTGGCCCTCCTCTGGACTCGCTCCAACAGCTCTATGTCCTCCTTGTGTTGGTGGCCCCAGAGCTGGACACAGTATTCCAGGTGGAGTCTCAGGAGAGCAGAGGGGTGGAATCACCTCCCTTGACCTCCTGGTCATGCTATTTTTGATGCAGCCTGGGATACAGTTGGCTTCTGGGCTGCCAGCGCACACTGCTGGCTCATGTTGAGCTCTTCTCATCAGCCAACACCCCCAAGTCCTCCTTAGGGCTGTTCTCCCTCCAATATCCACCCAGCCTGTATTTGTGCTTGGGGTTGCCCTGACCCATGTGCAGGACCTTGCACTTGGCCTTGTTGAACTTCATGTGGTTTGCACGGGCCCACCTCTCAAGCCTGTCAGGATCCCTCTGGATGGCATCCCTTCCCTCCAGTGTGTCGATGGCGCCACACAGCTTGGTGTCGTCAGCAGACTTGCTGATACCTCTGGCCCCTGTTTACTGTGCTAAGCAAAAGAGCTGGGGAGTGAGGACAAACACTGACATCTATACTGCTGCAGAATTCTGGCTTGTTTCCTGGATTTCTGTAGGGCTACACCAATAGCTGGAGGGGTCTTAGGTTGGTTTGTTCCAGAGTCCTCTCCAAAAAGGCAGTGTGGGTGAGGCTGTGCAATTTGGGCTTCTTTTGCTGTAACACAGTTCTATCAAGTAATTGACTAGCCTTGCTTTACTTAAATGTAACCCTTATGCCATGCTCCAGGGCATGCTATGCATATAATCAGCTTGATTATGTGAAATACTTCCTGGTGACTGCAGCTGAGCCCTTATGCCACTTCACATGCTTTGATATGGCACTTGGTTGGTTGAGGGAGAGACTTCCCTGTCTTTGGGCGACAGGGAGAGCTGGGGCAAAGCGGTGTAAGCATGGATGTGGCTTGCCTGTTCTCAGGGAAGTTCAGCTCTTTGAGCCCTCCAGGCTGAGTGCAACCAGTTTAGTCAAGTATCTGTTCTCATCTGTTTAATAGCATCATATGCTAGACTACTGCGGTTCATCTTTTCAGCTCACAGAAATATGAGAGAGAATACTGAGTTTCAGAAAAAAATGTGGACTTAAAGATTCCATAAATACTGCGGTGTCCAGGATAAACATGAATGGGCTTTCTACTCCTGCAGCACCACTTTTGCCTTTCCTGACTTGCATAGGCTGATTGACTTGCTCTGTCAGTCTCCATTTGACATGTTGTTTTTTAGTGGTAAGGTGTAGAAGTCTCCCCTTCTGTAAATATGTAAGTGCTGCAACTTTGCCTTTCCTTATTTCCCCATGTATACTTTGCTACAGTCTGCATTGCTAATCCAACCATGAATGGGCTCCCCAACAGAGATGTGTGTGATCAATATGGTCAAGACTTTTTGACAGTTTAACTTGGTTTTAATATCAAATTACTTTTGTCAGCTTAATGATAAATTGTGTACAAGTGTTGTCAGTTCAAAATTACATTTGCTAATGAAGACTCTTAATCCTTATGAAATAAGTTCTCAAAAGTTCTATATAATACAGATCTGGAAATAGTTGAGTTTCTAAGAGGAGCTATCCAGGAGAGCATCCTAAATGTAATAAGGAATTGCATTTTTGTGATACAGCCTCAAAACTGAAGAATGAAGAACAAGAGTGCATGGAAGAGCTGCGTATTAAGAGCAGACTGTTCAATTTGCAAGTGGCTATGTTTTTCCTGGTGCAGTGTTAAATGTAAATTAATAAAGAATCATTATTGCTTTCTTTTGATATATTCATTGCTGTCTGAATACCAGTGCATGCTGTATGTATCTTCCCTGGAAATTACTCACTTTAGCTAGACAGCTTATTGTCTGTAGTGGTGTCAGTTACTTTTCTGTACTTTGCCAGCCCCATTAAACACCAAATTGGGGAACAGTAGCATGTACTGGAGAACTTTGAGTTTTGGGGCCTCAGCAGTTTTGTTTTCTTGAGTTTTCAGATTGCTTAAAAAACCTGCATACACTTTTTAAGACAGCCTTAAACAGCATATTTCTGTTAATGTCAGCTGATGTAGTTTCAGTTAACTGAAACTACTAAGGGTGTGAACACTTAAAACCCAATAGACTGGACAATTAAAACCCTTGC